ATAATAAATTATAAAAAATTACAAATTTTGATGAGTTATACTGCAAAATTTTATTAATACAACTACAATTGTATTTTAAATAAAAAATGATTCTGATCTTATTTTAAATTAATTTATATAAAAAATTAATTTTGAAAAATTTGTCAATTTCCCTCTTTTATAGAACACAGCTTATATATTCCTTCAGTATACTCTCCTTTGCAGTTATTTGAAAGTATTTGAATGCTTTGTTTTCTTTTTTGCAATATTTAAAGTTTAATATTTGTGTCATTAAATATAGTATATATTAATGCATTATGCTTAATTAATTATTATAGTTTTTTGATTAAGTTATGTTTTTATTTATTTATATTATAGACATTTCCAATATATTTTGTTATTACAAATGTTAATATGTTTGTTTATAATAATATATAATTTTTTTTTAAATATATAATTTCATTATATTTAATATTTTTTAGTATTGCTTCTATATTTGCAATTTGTGATTCTTAACTTAGTAACTAATAAAATACAAATTATGCAAAGATAAATACAATTCTATAATATTTACTAATTGTAATTACTATTTTTAAAACATTTTATACAAATTTACTTGTGTCAAAATTTGTTATTTCAAATAATAGGTATATATACCTTTGTTATAATATTATTATTTGTTTATCTAAAATCTAATTAGGAATAAATGCAGCTTGAATAAGATGTTAAGTATTAGCTTATTGAAGTCTAAAAAGCTGTTTTTTATTGAATTTATTTATTTTTTTCATACTAGATTAAAATTATTATTAATGAATATTGTAATAATATTTTTTTCTAAATATATTATAACCTTATACTTAATAGCTATCAAGTAGAATATAAATGATATTGTGTCAGTATCATTTAGTGGCTATTTGTTAGCTCAGATCATACTGCAAAGTAGTATAATCTGAGTAAATCAAATAGCTACAAATGATGCTGACACAATATTGCCTACATTTTACTTGATAAAGATATTATCTGGAAGTAATAATTGATTATGTTACTCATATTAATTATGTAAATTATTGTTCTTTTATATAAAGATTAGTTTATTGATTATGTAGTTTCTTGTAATTTTTTTCTTTTCTTATTCTTTTCACACCTTTTTTTTTTTTTTTTTTTTTTTTTTTTTTACTCTGAGATATTTTTGACTTGAATTAAGTTAATTATTAATTTAAGCATTTAAAAAACAAAAAAAAATAACCGAAAAGAAATATTAAGATTCTGAATTAATTCAAATATGAAATAGACATTGATATACTATAATATAGCATTAATATGGTAACATAATCAATAGTAACTACTGGATAATTATCATTATCAAATTTTTAAATAAATATGCATTATTTTTGCTAATATTTATATAAGAATTATGATTTATATTCAGGTTCACAAAGTTTTATTCACTATTATTAGACTTGGTATATCTAATCATCTATAAGTATAGTTTGTTAAATGAAAAAAATAAGTTTAAAATAATATATCTTAAAGCAATTCTTCAGAGATAATATAAATATCAAATTCCATTATTGCTAAACTATAGAAGCTTGTATTTGTTTTAAAAAATAATTGAAAAACTTTATTAATTGTAACTGTTAACAAAATATATTTTTCACTTTCAATTCTATTACATGTACAAATATAAGCCAGATGAAGGCTATTTTCTAAGTTTATTTAATCAATTTTATAATAAAATTATACCTTATAGAATAAAGAAGTTCTATATTTTTTATTTTATTATTACCAGTTATAAAAGCTGCTAATTATAACAAAATAATCTAAAATATAAATTCTTTACAATAATATCTAATAAATTGATCTTACTAGATATTTTTATGTGTTTGGGTATTTTTTTATTAGTAAATTATAAAAAAAAATTTGTAAAAAGCAGATTCAGAAATATATCTAATAACATATTCCTTAAACTATTTAGCTGACAAATTTGTCTGCTAGAATTTTTTAACATGTTTTTAAAATTACTAAAAATTTTATTAAAAATAAGTATTCTTATTACTAAGCAAAATAAAAATTTAGCATATTATTAATTGATATTTATTAAAATTTTAATTTTATTTTATAAATAAAAGAAAATTTGTCTAAATATAGGCAATTCTTTAATTTTACTATAAATTTTTTTAAAAAATTTTACAAGTTTCAAATTTTTATATGTTTCAAAAAGAAAAAAACTTATTTCTACTAATCAAAGTTAAAATTTTAATTATTTAAGTATAAAAACTTTTATAACAAATGTTGTTTATATGTAATAATTTAATTTACAATTTATATCAAAATTATAGGATATATATGGGGTGAGTCAGTAGAAAAGAGACAAATTTTTTCCAAATAAAAGTTTTCTTGACTTTAAGATTAAATATTTTAACAACTATTTTATTAAATTTAATAATTTATTTTATTTTAATTTTATAATTTCAAAATTAAAATAAAAAATTTTAGCAAATTTGATTAAATAATTGGTAAGATCTTTTAATTTAAAAATTAAAAAAATTTTACTAAAAATGATTTGTTCCTTTTTTACTGACTCACCTCTATATTTTTAGAATTTTAAAAGTTTGTCAATAATCAAAAATAAAGTTTCTAAAAATTAAAAATTTTTAAAATTTTAAATTTTTTAACTTATAGACAACTTAAAATTTTTATACAAATATAAAATTAAATTTATTATAATATAATCTATATTAATAATAGTTAATAATTAAAAAAAATTTAAATAACTTAATTTTTAATAAAAATAAATCAAAAGCAAATTTTATAAATCTTTAAAAATTTTAACAGGCAATTTTGCTTGCTAAAAATGATGGTTTGCGAGATAGTATAATATCCCTGATCTATATTATAAAAATCAAAAATTTTATCTGATCTGCATATGAATTACCACTTAAAGGTAGACAGTATATAAATCATTTTTTATATGAACAACACATGATTTTAAATTTTTACTATAAAATTAAAAGTTGTTACTAATAAAACTTTTTCAAATTATAATTAATTTTTAGCAAATTTTATAATATATAAATAAAATTATTTTTCTATTTTAGTAAAATTTTGAACTATTATATTTTATTAAAAGAGTATTTCTATTTATACACTATGTGTACATACACGGGTAATAAGAAAGCCAATCAGATTACATGATCAGATATAACACAAAATTATTGATTTTTTTAAAAAATCAATTATAACTCAAAATTTCATTTATAAAAAAACCTTTTGGGTATTAATAAAAATTCTTTGCAAAATTTTGGTATAAACTATCACCTATCATCATCCCCAGTTCACTCTTATTCTAACTTTTAATAGTGCTCAATTTTTTGTTTTATAAGAATTATTTTGATTTGCATGTTATACAAATTTGCAAATTAATATTTGTGTATATACACTATGTGTAAACTAAAAAATTTTCTTATTAAAAAATATATAACAAAATTTTCTGAATAAACTCAAATTTTCTGAATTGCACAAAATTTTTTTAATTTTGATTGGTCAATTTATATAATGCTATAAGATAAATTTAATATTAAAATTTTATATTTAATTTTAAAATTTCATATCTTACTGAGTTTTTAACTAATTTAATAAATTTATTATCATTAAAATCAGAAAACTCTACTCTACAAAATTTAAATAATAGTTAAAATTAGTTTACTTAATAAAATTTTTATAAAATTAAATATAAAAAATTTGCCATTAAGTTTATATGTAATTTTAAAATAGTACTGTCTACCCTTAAACTAGTTTGTTTTGAGGTTATACGTATTATATAAATCTTACTAGATACCTATTTTTAATATTTTATTATTTCAAACAAAAATTATCATAAAAGATTTTGAATAATTGAAACCAGATATTTTGAATTAAATATACAAAGCTTATTTGGTTTTAACAATTATTAAAAAAATTATTATTAAATATGCAATCTTTAAGAGGCAAAAAATATATAAGAACCAACTAAATTCAAGAATCCACTTATTAATCATTCTAGAATATAATTTTTAATTTGATAAAATCTTTAATTATACTAAATTTATTTAATTTATTATCTATTTTGGATAAATAATATGCATTATTTATAAACAAATAATAAAAATCACAAAAAATTGGCTAACTTTGTAATAAAGATTATTTTCCATTTTACTAAAGAATTTGTGAAATAATATCTAGAAATTAAACTGACAATTTCTTTATTATCAAATAAATCTAAAAAGCAAAAATTGCCCAAATTTACTTATTACGTAAATTTAGGTGTGTCGATTATTTGATCCTATATTAAAATTTTACCCCCGTAATCTGTGATGCGTTACAACGCACATGCGCAAAAAGATAAAATTCTAGTTAAAATATTTATAATATATGATATACAGAATATTTTTTTGAATAAAAACGTCACCTTATAGATATCGTTGCAAAAATAGAGTTGAAATAGATAACAAGTTAGGGTATGTCTAAATATAAGACACGAGTATTGTCGATATTGGGTGCAGATCCATAAACTACAAATCAGATTTCAAAACAAAAGTAAAATTCTTTTCTAGCCAATTTGTAGCTTATACTTAAAGCTACAAATTGGCTAAAAACGTTCGTTTTCTTATTTATCAAAATCTGCATAAAAAATCACCTTTAGTGCTCTGGCAAAAAAGTTTTCCTGAGCGATTTTACTATATACTCAGTAAACATCTAAGCTTTTTCTAAACGCTAACTCTAACATTAATGAGCCTTACAAATTTGCCTGCGCGACAAATAGGGTGACTGGCAAATTTGCATGCCACCCTAGTTATGCACAGGCTTGGATTATATGTTATACAAAAATCATATTTTAAAAAACTCGTATCGATAACATTTAAAAATTCACAAAGTATAAAACCCTGAAGTAATTTTACAAAAGCATAAATAAATTTATTAAAAATCTGCGGATAGATTGTTTATGGTTTTAAATCATTTACAAAAACCAATACAAAACATTTTTAAGAATTTTCTTTTTTTTTAACTTGATTATCTATTTCTGCAGATTTTAGTAACGAATAATACCTTTTACTTGTCAATTTTAATACTAATTCCTGAATAATAACAACATCCAACTTAATATAATTTATTAGATACACATTCATATTTGATTACTAGGAACCGGAAACCGGTTTAAGTCCGGAGCTCATTATTGTCATCTTACACAAACTCATAAACGTGCATAATTTTTTTTACACAATGTACAAATATAGACACGTGGCGTTACAGACGGAAAATGCCGAAACTACTTTTTTGATCTTTTTATTATAGATGCATCAAAATCGTAATTTCAGTCATCAAATCGCATAGAAGTATGAGTCCTCCGCTTCGCTCCGGACAATAAATGGCATTCCAGGTATATTTTAAGCTTTTTAGGCATGCATAGTAGCTTTACCATTGGTGTCATGCCAGTCACCCTAGCGACAAACTTGGCCCAGAAATTGTTCATGCAAAACACGATACTTTTTATAAAAATTAATTTCAGCAAATTTCGATACCAATTTCACAAATAGAGGAGAAATTAATTCATTCTCATTTAACTTTACCGGCATTTTTTAATAAGTTAATCAATATAATATTTAATTTTTTAGACAGAAAACCTAAAAACAAAATTAGGAAAAATGAATTAATAACATAGTCAAAAAATACTGTGTAGAATTCATTTTGATAAATATCTTAATATTTTAGCAATTCTACCGTAACATGTTCACAACGACATGCTATGGAATGCAACTCATTTAATTATAAATAATAAAGAGTCAGACTTATGAATTTATTAGAACTTTAAATACATAAGTAATTAATAACAATAAAATTAAATACATATTAACGAATAAAAAATTGCAAGAAATTAAATATAATATAATTATTCTATTTCTATTTCTATTTGATGTGGAATAGATAATAGAATTCTGAATCATTAAAATTTCATTTATGCAAGTAAAGAATCTTTAAATAATTCAAAGGTAATACTTAATAATATATATATGATAATTATGAACAATTATCTATTACTATTAGTTTATCCTAATTATGTCATCTGATGTAACATTTGAACCTAGTTTATAAATAAAATTAAGGGTGTACCAAATATTGGGTAAAGGTGCTTGCACCGACATCATTTCTAGCCAAATTTCCCAAATTCCAATTTTTCTCTACAGTAGCCAAATATGAATAATGATTGTAACGTGTACTATCGTTATGATTGGCTGGAGGATGAACAGGAGTACCAAGAAGAGCGCCATAAACGTGATTGGATTGCGAATTATCATCTTCATCAAAAGTGACAAAGATTAATGTATTGTTTGTAAATGCTGGTTTAGTAAGTTTTGGTTCAAGCCAACCTTGGAACCAATTGTTCGCAAATGCTACACCAGTGTCATGTCCATCATTATTTTGATTTGGTGTATAATAGACAAATTGCGGTACTGCATTATTATTAATATCAGTATCAAGTTGGGTACCAGGAACAATTTTCGCACAACGAGTGGCATTATTTCTTATGGTATCCATTGAAATGAAAGGATTATGCTTTCTTGCATATAAATGTTGGCCAGCAGGGGCAGTAGCATTAGTGTAACAGTTACCAGCTATAAAACGATATAGTTGATATAGTTGATAGGGAGAAAGTGAATCAAAATCCAAATCAATAAATAAATACAATAAATAAATACAATAAATAAATAAATGTAATAAATAAATAAATCAAGATTTGTGATAAACATACGATAGTCTTCCATATAAGCTTTCCAGGAGACCCCTTTAGCTTCAAGAAGGTCAACTAAATTTGATCCGGAAACGTTGTGATTAGGGATGGGAAAATCGAGGATTTTTCGAAACTACTGCGCAGGCTGCGCAGGCTGCGCAGCCTGCACGGGCCTGCATTAAAGCTAATGCGGGCCAAAATTCTTAAATTCTGACGCATTACGGAAATTTCCGGGCTTCCGAATTTTTCCGCCTGCGCAGTGTCCCATACCTAGTTGTGATTGGAATCGTCTGTGATACCAGCGGTTGAACCGTAAATTTCGGCAATGTAATTTGGCTAAAAGACAAGAAAGTTAATTTTAAATTTTACGATTAAAGAAAATAAAAATAAAATTTACTTGAGAGGGATGGGTGATTGCGAAGAAGTTGCTAAGAAGAAGGCCATTACTACGCTGAGTTATGTTTTTGAAATAAGGTTGTGCGTACGCTGTAGTAAATGCAGTGTTTTCAAAAATGACCAAAACAATTCGGTCAAAATATGTTCCTGGAATGAGAGCACCGATGGATGCTCCAATAGAAGCGACAATTAAGAAGAGAACGACAGATGTAAAATGTTTCATCTTTATTAGCGTGTAATGGTTATGTGAAATTGAACACTTTTTTGAAAGTGGAATTCATCGCGTTTTTATACATTTTGGAATGTTAATTAAAGTACTAAGTTATATGTTTCTTAATATTATATTAAGTTTTCGCTCGGAAAAACTTAACATTGTCTTACAACTCTAGACATAAAATCAAATGTGTACAAAGGATTGAACCAAATTTGTAAAATCGCATGGCTTTTGACGACTACCGTTATGTAAACGATTGCAGTACTGTTAAACACTTGAATTTCGGGTTAATTATTTATAATTTAAGGCATAATAAATGAATGTAGTTATAAAATATGTCACAGTCAATGCTAAATAATTAATAGATAATAAATTTGAAAGCCTAAGTTTGAGTAGTCACTAGTGCGTTTAATGATTTAGTATATTATAATACTATAATACTATAATCGTCGAACATAAACTTAAGAGTTGTCATCTGAGTAGGTCGGTTTCTGTCATTCCAAATAGGTTTGTTTGTTTCAAACTTTGACGGACACTTAAATTAGTTGTTCGGAAATTATGTAATTTACTTTATAAGGAATAAAATTTCATTTAGTGATTCTTCAAGTAATTATTAAATGTGCTGCAGCATTAAAAAATTTGAAATAAAAATTAATGAGATTAAACTTTGAATTTCAAATTCTTTATTAATTCTAGAATTCTGTGAATCTGTAAATCATATTACGTAATTTCTAGAATTCTATTAATGAAACACACAAATAGCCTGTGTTACAATTTTCACAATGTTCCCACCTCATGCAGAATACAGGCTATTAATAATAATTTAATAATAATTTAATACGAAGTGTTGGTATTCAAATTACTTGCGTGTTGTGTATAAATGTCGATATTTGAATAATAATAATAAATAATAAAGAATTTCGATCAATACTACCGTATTTCAATTTCCTTATTTGGAGATCTAAATCGTTTAACCAATCAAAATCTTAAATTTTTACGGTGTCTAATTTTTACCTATAATCCTTAACCCTAACCCAGCCTAAACTTAGTCCGATACTCTCTAGCTATAGTTGTTAAGGAAATCAAAACTAGTGCAGCAATATCAATCGATGAAAATTCCCCGCAATTTACGTACGTACTGTACTACGAGGTGATGTAACCGTAAACACGAAAAAAACAAAATTCCCGGCTACCGGTTAATCCTATTCTGTTCCGTTATTGATATTAATGCAATCAATATGTACTGTATAACCATTATCTAATAAATAACCAATAATTAAAACAAATAATTATTAATCATAATTCTGAACTGAGAATTGATGCACCATCTTGCTGTTATCGTATCTTCATGTGCAATAGCGGATTCATTTTTTATGTAATAATTGGCTATTTTGTGTTATGATGTAAGTACTGAAACCAGGAAAACTTAAAATTTTGAGTTTCACAAAGGAATAACATCTGTTTACACAAAAAGTCTTGGCAAAAATTCTTAAAGGGCGTTGTATCCGAAATACCAAATGTTTTTAATTAATACTTTTATTAGAAATATTAGAAATGCATCATATTTCAGTTATTAAGACGCTTAAAATATGATTCTTTACTTCGTTCCAGACAGCAAGCTCAAAGTAAAATGCGTACTATCGTTCTAGTTCCGTCTCTAACGTTATTTCCACGTTATTATCCCATGTATTATCTGAAAAAAATTTCCCTTATCTATAAAATATTTTCATTCATATTATATTATGTTTGTGTGCACAAATTTTTTTTAATTAAAAATTTCTAATCTGCATCGTTTAATCTTTTTTTAAAAAACTTCAAGAGAAATGCTACAATATTATAAATTTATTTTAAATATTATAAATGTTTCACTTAAATATATTACTTTTTTTTTAATAAAAGGCGTCAATGACAAATTTGTAATACTGAAACGGATAAAATTTTTCTGCAAAAGTTCTATAATTTTAAAAAAAAATACGTATCTTTGTAAATACAAATTAAAAAGGCTAGAAACAGTATTGATTAATAGCTAATAAATAGCTTGTAGATAAAATTAAATTTACATATGTAGCTAATTACATTTTTTTTATTATAAAACGTATTAATTTTTATAAATACTAACTATAAAAATATCTTAAAAAATGTATAGTTTGTAATTGAAACGCAAAATGTTTTATTAAAATACTTTAATAGTTATTTAACAACCATTTTTAATTAAATCTATCCCTTAATATTAAACAATCAACTTTTGCAGGCAAATTTGCCCGCAAACATTTATTTCCAGTTAAAACGTGTTTAATTGAGCTAATCAAGTATGGATGTGCCGTTGGGGCATTAGATACCAAATTATTTACTATGTCAGAGGCAATCCCGTTACCTTTGGATCGCATAAAACTTGCGCGAAACGATAGCGTATGTGCCCCCAAAATTGAATCCGTTACACGAACGATGAAAATGCAGAATAGTTCGTAGAACCGCCAAACGATCTACATTAATCCTTTGCAAAATTACGGCCACAAAAGACAATGGGGATATATTACCTTGCGGGAAAAGCTCGCATGATCTTTCGTGGGTAAGAACGTTTGTTGGAAGGCGAAACGATTGAGATAACGAAAGCTGATCGCATAAGGGGTAAAATGTTGCCAATAAGGTGGATACGGCTTAGAGTTAATGAAAAGAATGTGTTAGAACGATAATGAAAATATTTGAATATTTATTTATCTTCCCTGTAATTTTCTTATAAAAAAAGAGTTCATTTTCTTGAAACTGTGTGTGCTTAACACATAAAATATTTAATAAAGTCTCTAAGACTATTAATAACCCAAATGCTCTTTAATACCTACGTACCTGCCAAATCGTTATACGTCGGGTTATGTTACACGACATCAATGAATTCGAGCGACAATTTGTAACATTTCTATTCTCTTTTGTGCGTGTGGAGTTGTGACCTCTTCTTTTTCGTGTGTGTGGAGTTGTGATCTCTTCTTTTTTGTTTATGTGGAGTTGTGACCTCTTCTTTTTCGTGTGTGTGGAGTTGTGACCTCTTCTTTTTCGTGTGTGTGTGGAGTTGTGACCTCTTCTTTTTTGTTTATGTGGAGCTGTGACCTCTTCTTCCGTAACACTATATAATTGGCCTCATGGGCTGAAATCCAGTTTTGTAGATATTATTAACTGATCAAAACATATAATTTGCAAATTGTTATTTAAAATATTACAATATTAGAAACGAAAACCTCAAAAAAAAAAAACATATAAATCAAAAAATAAACATGGTTGATTGGATTATATACGTATAATAGATAGACGCATATAGGATACGGTATTCATTATTAAACAGTACCTGAATCAA